CCAGCTGTGGACAATAAGATAATGGTGGGAAGCATATGTTATTGTTGTGGACTTTCTGTACGATTCATTGACACACCTGTGTGAAACTTGACTTTTATTGTGGGACAACGAAATACATGAATGGTTCATGATTCATGAGGATGTTCAAATGCTGTGTATAATGCGGTGTCAAATAATCAGCTTGGGATTTACCTGCCGTATTGAATAATAAGTCATTGTAATAACGTCCTTAGTCTCATCTGGTTTCATGTGAGAAAATTTCATACACGGCGATCTGTTGAAGCTTTTGATTCTGCTTGGGCCTTGCACGCAACTAGCTGTAGTCATATACTGGCGTACATAAGAAAAAACACATCAAGGTATGGGGAATATGTTTTAGATAAAAACGTATTTTGTTTATTGGGTCTTTCTAGTCCTTTACAGTGATGCGTGTGGGATATCATGAAAATCCTAACTTTGTTGAATCGCACGTGCAAGATATGCACCATCAGTATAAAACACAGTTGATTGAGATTGTTGCTACACCTGTTAAATGTGCACATCAAAATGTCAAGGTTAGCTCTCAAAATGTGCACGTTGTTTTGAGAAAATTCCTCTCACTGTACCAAGTGTGTACCTTCTTTTGCACGTTAATTTTAAACCATTTTTTCTGTCTGTTCTCAGTTTCGTATATCATCATTGTCTCCCTTAGTTGCGTCAGGATCCACTGCTTGAGGGGTCATCGTCCGATCGATTTATGTTGCACTCGGATAATTCACTGTGCACCTTTTTACGTTTCACACCAGTTTTAACCCTACAGATAGTCTTCCAAAGTCGCACCATTCTGATTATTGTCAGAATACATTATCATGACCATCCCACAAGCCCCACAGATCTATAGATGATCACAGGTACAATGTGTGAAGCCCATTACTGGTGTCCCCCGCCGTGATATTGCTTGAATATTGCTGAAAGCGGCGTGAAACTAAACTCACTCACTATAGACGACCACATCAACACAACACACACACCAACAGCATCCACATCTACATCCACCCCACCCCGCACCATCACACCATATTTCACCCAAAGCTCATCCACCGTCACTCGTCAGCACTGTCCGGGACATTTGGCTTTTACTGTATGACAGGGAAGTTATAGTTTTGGAAAATAGAGCGGAAAGATGGACGGTGTGGGATCCTGTGATTATATATGATTGATGTCGTGGATCATCTCCACCAAGCACCTGCAAACCTTGCATTTGCATATCCCAATCACCAATAACCAGTACATCTGACCACAACCCTGGCCGCTAAATAATTGATTCCGTCTACATGACCTTTATTTGACCGGTGAACAATGTTGTCGTCACGCGTAGAGCTGTTATTAACACTTTACCTGTCAATCACATGCACATCTGCAGGTGAGGGCCAGGTGCGAACAGGTTCAATGTGATTTCGTTCACTGCTAATGACATGATTGTATGTTCTCGAGAATCACGTGCTATCAACCCACATTATGCTGCTTTCCTGCAACTGCCACCGAGTAAGTGAGTGATTGTGTGAAATTCAACGCCTGTGTTTATAAGGAATAGGTACAATCATACACCAAAAATAGTGATGAGTGACTTTACGCCGCTTAGCAATATTCCATCAATATCACGGAAGAGGACACTAGAAACAGGCTTCACGCATTGTACCCTTGCGAGGAATCGATTCCCTGTCTTCAGCGTGACGAGCGAACGCTTTAACCACTAGCCTACCCAACTGCCCCCACAAGAAAGAACATGCTACATTGTACCCAAATCGGAACGGAACCCGAATCGTAGGCTGAATCAGCGAGAGCTAGTACCTACTGTGTCGCTCATTAATTCCTTTAACACGGTAAAACTAAAACGTGAGATGACGCGAAATGGGGTTTGACGTCATGTTCCAGATTACCTGTAGAGCGACGTATATGCAAGTATGTGTGTCTGTGCCTGCGTTCGTGAGGGTCTGATGGTACTAGTCGGACTAATGTTGGTTCTATGGTGCTATCCCATATAGACACCACGCCTTAGTGTAACAGTAACCTTTATACTGACGCCATCTTGACATTGTTCCATCAAGATTAAGCAGGGTACTAACGTTGAGTGAGTGAATTTAGTTTTACGCCTCTAGCAATATTCCAGCAACATCACGGCGGGGAGACAACACTAGAAATGGGTTTCACACATTGTACTCATGTGGGGAATCGAATCCGGGTATTCGGCGTGACGAGCGAACGCTTTAACAACTTGGCTATCCCACCGCCCCGTGCCATCGTTTAACGTATATTGGTAGAAGATCGAACCCCGACCTTCCGCTCTTCGGCAGACGCTTTATCCACTAGACCACGGAGGAGGTGAATGTTGATTTAACAAGCTGACGGTCTCTAACCGCTACAAACGAACTTTTAATTATCTCAGTGGTCAAAGCCAGTTGATAATTTAGTTGGGTTTTTTTTATATAAAAACATCCTCGAGGTTGTACTGGTAAAAACAAATCTCAAAGCATCAGACTTCAGTAGTGTGATCTTCAGGACATCATATGACTGTCACACTATCTGCATCACGTGCTATCTATCACGTGGATATGCAATGGTATGGTTGGACTTCCGTGATGGCTACGAGGAAGCAAGGCACGATAATTATCCTTTAAGGAAATCTCAGCATACATATAACATCAGACTGGCAGGATTAGTTCCCCCTGAATGCATTGATTTCTTAAGCTGAACAGAATACATTCTAAGCCGATTCCTCGCTATAGAATATAAACGTCGTAAGCCTTCCTCGGGTGGAACGCGTGGGGCTGGATGATTGCTGCCTCCTTGTGTAAATATAATGTTCGTTGCTAAATAGCGGCCGATTTCCGCTTTCCTGAGTGCAGGGTGGTGCGGCGACATTGCAACTGCGGGAATCGGAAGCTGATGAGATACGTTGAAGCCTCGTTGACCCGGACGACATCGCCAATGATGAAATCACCTTGATTAACAAAGTCTGTGTTAATGAATCAGGGGTACAGAGTTGTGTCCCTTTGTATATGTATCGGCGATGTGCTTGTACCGAAACCCTGCCAGACTGGCGCTAACACTGAGTGTCTTTGGCAGCTTTTTTCGAAGGTGATGCATTTCATAATGCTTCATGGTTGCGTTTTGAAGCTTCGGTTTTCTGTGTTTTTGGCAACTGTTTTCATCCTGGTTACGTTTTTATAACTTTGGAAATATTTTGGTAAAATCCAGTTTTCAAGTGTACTGTTTCTTTTGTCAAGCTGTTTACCTTGTGGAACCAACATTACAATGGACTTTGCTGAGAATCGCGATAGTCGAGATCTTCAGCTACCGATGCGTGTTAGATATCGCTGACATGGTTTATGCATGTTATCGTATCCTAAATGTGTATATGGGTGCTCATGATGTCAATCACAGGCTTTCATGTTCCAGACTCGACCATTTATTACTAGCGAGGTCTTACTACTCTACGATAGCGAGTGAGTTCACGTCCCTTTTAGCAATATTCCAGCAATATCACGGCGGGGGACACCAGAGATGGGCTTCTCACATTTTACCCATGTGTGGAATCGAACCGGGGTGTTCGGCGTGACGAGCGAACGCATTAACCACTAGGCCCACACACCCTAATTGAGTCAACAATTTATGTGACAGTCCCAAGACCAAGTTCACACAGCACTATCAATACATTCCTACTTCAGTTTACCGATTTTCCTTCTTTCCAATTACAACCATTCACTTGACTAACTTACCTTGTTTAGCGATGTGACCTGACTTGGGCACCCTGTTATTTCAATTATCTAAAGACACAAACCCATTCTACCAATGGTTGTATCGATTTCGACATATGACCCAATCAGCAGGTGAGTCCTTTCAGTGTGCTGTGTCTAAACACTTCAGTACCACACCACATGCTCAACTATGACAAATCAATCATGCTTGTGTGAGAGGTTGCTTAGCAACAGACACAACTTTTCCGAGGAAATGAACAATATCAAATCAATTTCAAAGAGAGGATGTTTAACCAATTAATGTTCTAAAACGAACGATCGATAATATGGATGTGATAAGAACAACCATCTCAGAGAGGTTTTCTTCAGCAAGAGTGAGTGAGTTTAGTTTTACGCCGCACTCAGCAATATTTCAGCTATATGGCGGCGGTCTTTTAATAATCGAGTCTGGACCAGACAATCCAGTGATCAACAGCATGAACATCGATCTGCGCAATTGGGAACCGATTTCTTCAGCAAGAATCACAAATATAGTCAGTAGATCTAAGCTAGAAGCCCATTCATCTCTATATATGAAGCACAGCTCATCATGTATGACACGGAGATTATACACGATAACTACCGTTTAAAAAAATATTATTTAGAGGTAATTCGTTATGTACATGTTAATGACAATTAATGAAAAAATCTATGATAAATAATCTTATATAATACGACCAGTTTAGTTTACATCTCTGAAAAAAATGGTTCCTGATAATGAATTATTAAATCGTACAAGAGAGCCCCAGTGACTTTTCCTTTTTTCTGAGCAGCGTTTGTTTTCAATACTGAACGGATCCATAACATCAGTCGTTGTGACGCAGCTGTTTCCCTTTTCCGAAATGTCACAGTTGTCTGCGGATCGCAAGTATAACCATATCCCACTTAAGATATCGATTTATTCTATGATTGATTGACCTAGTATTGATCTATTGATCTGTTCCCCTCTATCCGTCTATCGCGTTACAATCTCGACACGCAGTGTAAATTCAGAAATTGCAATTCCCCCAGTCAGCCAGAACGCAGCACAATCATGAAACTCGATTAGGGATATTTACTAGTGATCTGAAACTGCTTGATACACAGGCCCGTTGACACGCTTCGTATCCTTATGCCTCGAGGACAAGGGAAATTGAGCGTTGCATTTCACTTGATAAGTTAACATCACTTGGAAAAGGGGTGTGACTCATAACATTGACGTCACATCCGCAGAGAGTTCCTCCGACTTCCCGCTGTAGCGCTACGCGACAAATCATAGTCAGCCAAGCTTGGAACAAAGCTCAGCTCGACGAAGGGGTGACTCGCGCACCTGAGATTTGCATTAGGCTCACTGCTTTGGAATACCTCAGGTGAATACTCTCACAGGTGAGTGCTAAGTTCCTTGTATTACATTGAAAATATATATATACCTGTCCCTATTCAAGTATACTTCATAGTTTTGAAAACAAGCCCACCTGTGATGCTGTGGTAGTTATGGGGATTTACTGGCTGTCAAAATGCGATCTTTCAACGTTCGATACTTTTCAATGTACATGAAGATTGACTTTAAACGTTGTCATGTTGACATTGTCAATATTTTCTCACGGCTTTTCTATTTCACATAAAATGTTATATACACACACCGCCCGTACATTGTGTTCGAACAATCACCATGCCTCATACAGACGCAATAAGTTGGCATATATACTCATGCCAATAATGGTTGTCACCCCCTTCAAATGTTTTTAGTGGAGGGGGGTGGGGGCTGAGGTGTGGGGATGGGGGTGGGGGGGTGACAACCATTATTGACATGAGTATATGTTCACACACTCATGTCGAGGTTTTGTGCAAGTTTGTTCACGGGTAATGACTCCATGACTTAAACCTGTCGGCGTGATCTTTTCCCCAGCAATTAGCGAACAAGGCAGGCAGGAATCATAGTATTATCTCGACTGGAGTTATTGACGATTACAACAATGCTCCGCCTATACCATAACTAACGCCCTCGACCCATGCCCTGTATGTCATTATGTTTTATATCCACCGGCGGACGGTATGTTTGGGCTATGTGCAGTGTAGCGTGTACACTGATGATTGTTACGAGAAAATGTGTCAAATACCAAATCGCAATGAAGGTTTAATATGACCGTGTTATGCATACCCCACGAAAATAATTAGAGGTGCGGTATGATATGTCTGATAGAAGGTCCTTATTACCGGGAACTGACCACACGGCGAGCGAGTCGTTTTAGTAATGGACAGTGATTGATCGGACCAGGTCAATAGAAACACGTTTAATTATTAACACATGGCATATGATGGTTAGCTCCGTGTGAACTTGGAGTTAAGGTAAAGGTTGCTATGTCTCGAACAGTTTTGATTAATGGGTATAAACTGCAGTCTGAATTTTGACTGATACACCTAGTAACATATTATATATCTTCTTATATTATTAAGCAAAATAATAGTCTGTCATACTGACCCTGAAGCAAATATATCCAAGCAAGCCCACGCAATGTGGCAAGTCTAGATTTCCACAGCTTCAGGAAGTTTCAGGGCTCCTTTTCATTATATATATTTTAATTTGTTTTACTATGAGCTTTTTTACTGTAAAAGTATGTTCATTTCAGAGACTAGTTGTGAGTCTAGCAAAATAAGTAATCTAGTTCGTATGACTGAAATTGGTATCGAGGTGTTTGTCTTGATACAAAATTTCAACTCTACTCTTGGATAAATCGAATAATCGATTATTCATATAAAAAATAAGTCTTATTTCTCGGATGTAGTGAACTTATTATATAATTATCTAGAATTATTTTATAACGGGTTGACCTCAATAAGATAATTTAAAACAGAAAACTAAATTACTTGTCAGTAGTAAATGCTAAGTGCACGAGACCGTCGGAAATATATGGAATGGGCGGTATTTCCAGACAAGTAAAGTGTAGGCTTTAGACAGATAAACCCTCGAGATAATAACAGCTCTAGATATGCAAGCCTGGTGCACCATGGGATTAGGTACATAATATGAAAAGAAAAGGAATTTCCATGCGACAACAGTTAGGAGGACCAGGTGAAAATAAGAGATTCAGAGTAGATGCTGATGCTGGTCGGACATCAAAATAAATGCCCAATACGGACGTCCCTGAACTCTGGATATTTTACGAGTTACTAGACGAGTTGTGAAATATCGGTCGCTGCTTCAAAGGAAATACGTGTCCGGGACTATGTCTCTTAAGTGGAAGTAGGTAAGACGCTCGCGTGAGCCTACCGTCAGCCCGTCCCTCCCCTCTCCCTCCGGCGTGGTCAACGACCGTGAAACGTAGCGTAGTCTACTCCAACAGGAAGACCACTCAGGGGCGTTTGCGAGACAGTCTTACTCGTTCTTCATAGAACGTGACCTGAATACATACATATACTTATATCTAAACGCGCATGTTTGTATGTGCGTGCGCGTAGATAGGTATGGAGGCGGGCACATGAACATTTACTGGACAGATCGTTGCTGACTGTTAAATGCGCAGATTGTGCTGACTAAAAGCGGTTGTTTAGTAATCCAGCTGAGTTTTAAATATTGAAGTACAATGAAGCCACTATTTCTCGGTATGGATTTTCTAAATTATTCATACACATTCTGTAATCATACACTGCTCAAACGCGACCAAGTTAAATGTCGCTTCGTTCGATACAGCGCGTGTCTGCAGTTTGGAACAATAATACATACCGTTCTAATAAATTAAGTATGATTAAGCAGATTATAGGAAAAAGTCTCAATATTATACGTAGCTTAATCATGAATAGACGAATTTATAGCCGAGAGTCAGAAACGGTTTATTGTGTCAGGTATGATGCTTAATGTAATGACGATATTATTATCTCACAAGGACAAAGATAATTAACGACTTGTATCATTCACACGAGCAGATATTATGATGGAAACTCCCAATCGGAAGAAAAACAATTTGCGTAATGTTTTACATGGTAAAACCCTTAAGCTCAATGATAATGACAACAATCGACTTCCTCGTTTCAAAGCTTCCTGTGAAATTGACATCAGTCAGTGATTAATTGTTCTGTTTACAATAATGGCCTTTTGCATTGCTGTGCTAATTTTATTGTGTTTAGGTGAATATTACGTCTGAGATATTGAGGCAAAGACAACCCCAAGGGACTAGTGTATTGGTGTGTTGCTTCATTTAAGGGCTGTCGTATGTTGGGTGAGTGACGTATATGATGCTGTAAACACCATGGCATTTACGTTACTCTTGTGTGCTAAATGGGGGAGAATCATCGCGTTCACGACCCACTCAACACGTCCTTATTATTATCAAGGATGTTATTTGGTCTGGAGTCAAACTTACGATCATCGAATCCTCGCTCGATAAAGGGACGCCACTCTGAATTGCGAGTTTCAGCGCCCTACACCATTAGCGCAACTATGCCCTCCGTGGCTAATGATGCTACGCCAGCCCAACGATCATGCTTCGCGACAGACTGATGAACGAACCTAACGGTACCCACTGTTGTATGTATTAATCATTAGGGTCCGGGACGGTGGGGTAGCCTTATGGTTGAAGCGTTCGCTCGTCACGCCGAAGACATGGGTTCGATTCCCCACATGGGAGCAATGTGTGAAGCCCATTTCTGGTGTCCCCCGTCATGATATTGATGGAATATTGGTAAAAGCGGCTTAAAACACAACTCACTTACTCATCATGGTCCATAAAGAGAGAACGGAAATAATGAACCGATTTGAACTGACAAAGTACTTGGTTGTGTCCGGAATAAAACCTGCGTATTTCATCTCAATAATCAGTCCCTCAAAGATATGACTGTGTACAGCCCCAGATAAGTCAAAAGGACCGCCATATTGAAGCATTTGTACACGGAAGTATATCTAATTGCGCACTAGGATATCATTGACATAAGCTTTGTTAGTTATACACAACTGTATGGTGCTCTCTACTGTATGGGGGCGGTGGGGTAGCCTAGTGGTTAAAGCGTTCGCTCGTCACGCCAAAAGCCCGGGTTCGATTCCCCACATGGGTACAATGTGTGAAGCCCATTTCTGGTGTCCCCGCCGTGATGTTGCTGGAATATTGCTAAAAGCGGCGTAAAACTAAAGTCACTCACTCACTCACTCTACTGTATGATGGCCCAGAATGAACAGCTGTACTGGAGACAAAGGTTCAACACTGACCGGGTGTGACTCCTGCTGGTATAGTATCACAGCTACTTCGCGTCATCTTAATGAAACCCGTGAATATGTTGGTTATAATTGGTCTTCAGCAACCCATGCTTGTCATAAGAGGGGACTGAAGGGATCGAGTGGTCAGTATCGCAGACTTGGTTGACACATGCCATCGTATCCCAACTGCGTAAATCATGATGTTAATCACTGGACTTTCTGGTCCAGACTGGATTATTCACAGACTGCTGGAATATTGCTGAGCGTGGCGTTAAACAACAAACAAATCATCTTGATGAAGCCCGAAATGCAGGCCTCAGACGTTTTGCCACTTCGGTAAGGTATGCTGACAAAACGTGTAACATAGCCAAGGTGATTCAGGATTCGAACCTATGGTCGTATTTCTGGCACACCTAGGGGGCGCAACTCAGGGACGACTGGGTCGCCTCTATATAATAACACAACAGTTAGTATCGATGTGGCAGTATAAAGGATATACCTGACACGATCATGAGACGTGTGTCATTCTGCGACAGAGAAGCTGACTGTCACTATACAGCCAGCTGAGTTAACGTCTACGTGATATGCGTTCTAAGCTTTTCACTAAGCACTAGGTATGCGTACTTAACATTTAACTCAGCAATTCATGCATGGCACTGAATGCCTCTGATCAACAACTGTTGCATCAACTAGGCATACTGTACGTTACTGGAATAGATAAATCAATGCACTGTATTTCTCATAAACGATATGTTCGTTCTGCATCTCGAGTCCAGAACTGAAACATTAATGTATTCGAATGGAACTGTCTATATTCGTGCTTCAAACACCCGACGTTGACTCTTGCATTGACGTTGATGTTGTCACTTGCATTATCAGACACTCAATGTTTTTTTTAAATCCCTAAGTGGGAATACTTCACATTTATCAGTATATACTTCACCTCAATTTTAATGATATTGTTGCATTGTATACTGTAGCAACGAACTTTGAGCATATATCTGGAGCTCTGATACGTCTAACCCAAATTGTTGATGGTTACATATAAGGATGTGTATGACACCGGGTGTTATCAGTAGAGGGCATGATACCTGGTGTTATCCCTGTCTGTGCCAGTAGCTTATTACCTGTTTGGAAGATTTTAAAAATAAGATTCGTCAGTATAAACATATGTGTCTTATTTTCGATTTCGACAAAA